ACTGCTGAAGACAAAGCGGGTGAATAAGCAAATGTGGTGAAGAAAGATGAAGGTGCCCGGCTATTAAAAGATATAGCGTCTGGGGTCTCAAAAGCTTGAAGGTATTCAAGCGGCCATCAAGCTCAGAAGCAACAAGGCCCACATGGAACAACATATCAGCCTGTGTGATCACGAGGTGTCAATAGGATCGGGTATCAGGCATCAAAGACCCAGAACGAAAAAATCATATCATGTGGGATATCAAAAGGCTTTTCCCCAGCTTGTCTCATCCAAATATATGTCAGACCTAGGACACTGCTTGCAACTAATGGTAAATGACTATCAAGTTATCTCCCTGAAGGCATCAGCCATCCAGAGCAATCAGACTACTGTCTGGTCCCCCATAGGTGGGGCTCACTCCCTGGAGTTAAGGACAGTGGATTGCTTTCCCTGGAAGGCTCAGAATAAATCAAGTCTCCAGCTCAAGGATAATCAAGGTTAGTCTGCTATCATGAATCTAGGATCTGCCCATCTTGTCACATGTGTACCCTTAATCCCTCCTCTTCCTATTGTGTGTACACCCCTAGATCAACCCCCTCCCATTGCTGTATTGCCTATGGCACTACCCCTTCCTGTGACAATGGTCATTACCTGTAATCAGGGGGCTTGCACACCCCCAAAGATATATAAGCCTTGGTTCGAAATAAATCATACTTTCTCTCCTGCCCTCTTCCTCCCTGCACCTCCATGTGGACCCTCAAGAGGGGCTGAGGTGGGCATGTTACCATGAAATGTGTCTGATTCCTTTATTTTACTCTCCTATCTTCCATGACTTTACTATGATCTTTATATATTGTAACCGTACAGTTGCACCTATGAACCCATGATAGTTGTTAGGGGCTGGTCTCCCCAACAATATCATTGTGAATGAAGGGGAGTGCAGAGTGAAGGCCCAAAGCCCATCTGTAGGCAATTGGACATCCCCTCACACAAGGGTCTCAGGGAGGAGACAAACCAGTCAGGGTGCCGTATAGCACTGATGAAACATACAACTTTTCTCTAGTTCTTTAATGCTTCCTCCCCCCACTATCATGACCCCTATTCTACCTTAGAAATCTGGCTAGACCAGAGGATGTACACTGGTACAGAAAAGAGCTGGAAACACAGGGAATCCAGGACAGATAAACCCCTCAGGACCAATATTGAGAGTAGCCATTCCAGGAGGGGAATGGAAAGGTGGGGGTGAGAAAGGGGGAACCGATCACAATTATCTACATATAACCCCCTCCCAGGGGATGGACAACAGAAAAATGGGTGAAGGGAGACATCAGTTAGTGTAAGACATGACAAAATAATAACAATTTATAAATTATCAAGGGTTCATGAGGGAGGGAGGTGGCAGGGAGGGAGGGGGAAAATGAGGATCTGATACCAAGGGCTCAAGTAGAAAGAAAATGTTTTGAAAACGATGATGGCAACACATGTACAAATGTGCTTGAGACAATAGACGCATGGATAGATTGTGATAAGAGTTGTATGAGCCCCCAATAAAATGATCTTTTAAAAAGACATAATGAAGCATTCTAATGAGCTGTGCAGAGACAAGGAGTCAGAAAACCAAAAGGGAAGCACATGCTGCACATTTGTCAAGCTGAACGAACCGAAGAACAGAAAACTCAGGCCTCAAGTTGTAATGCTGAAGGATTCCATGGGCAGAATATGGAATGATGCCGGGATCATCAAAAGGAATACAGTTACTGTCAAAAAGAAGTGGTCGACATGCAACTATTTCAGAAGGTAGCATAGGATTAATAACCAATGACATTTGAAGGAACACAATTTCACATGATAACGCCTGGCATTAGCCAAAAACAAGACTCCAGAAATTGATGGAACACCAACTGAGATATTTCGATAAACTGATGCAACTGTGGAAGGGCTCACTCATCTATACCAACAAATTTGGAAGAGCCAGCCACTCAGCCAACCAATCAATCATAAGAGATTCATATGTTTGCCCATTCCAAAGAAAGGTAATACAACAAAATGTGGGGAAAATTTTTGTAATCATGCAAGTGAAATTTTGCTAAAGGTAACTCCTAAACAGTTGTATCGGGACATGAACCTGGAGCTGCCAGAAATTCAAATTGGATATAGAAGAGGACATGGAATAAAGGCTATCATTGTTGATGCCAGACAGATCTTGTCTGAAAATACCAGAGAATATAGAGAATTCTGTATTCAAAATACAGAGAATGCCAGGAAGAAGTTTACTTGTGTTTTCCTGACTATCCAAAGGCATTTGGCTGTGTGGATCAGAACAAATTATGCATAGTATTGAGAAGAATGGGAATTTCGGAGTACAGTGAACCCTCGTTTATCGCGGTTAATCGGTTCTAGACCCCACCGTGATAAATGAAATTCCGCGAAGTAGGATTCCTTATTTGTAAATCAAATATTTTCGTAGTTAGAGCATAGAGGACATG